TGTCGTGGTTGCAACGCCCCCTCTGCCTTTGTTGAGCTGAAGGTTCACAGATGTGGACAGTTTGTTGCATGCTTCCTCTGAGGTCAACCCCTGCAGAGTTCGTGAAGCGGTTCTGCCAGAACGCCTTGAACTGTGAGGCACACGAGAGACAGGTTGATTTCATCCTAGACATGTGCTAATGAAGTGCGCGCTCCCAACCCTCCCGCGCGGGCTGTAATGCAGCCAGCCTTTATGAGCTCATGTGCTGGAGAGTAGGCTATACGCTCTCTTTACTTTTGCAGAGATCTTTTCTGAGGTTCATGTTGAGGAAAGATGAGTTAATTCGGTTCAAAATGCCTGTTATGGGAGGCACTTGGTGGTTTTCAGGCCAGGATGCGAAACTAGATCCCTACATGCCAAGCCTGATTGGAAGCGTGAACAGCAGGTCAACACAGTCAGACATCTTATCAGTGCCACACGCTTTGCATGAAGTTTCCCTTTTGCAATGGTGACTGGGAGAGAGGGTTGGAAAAAATGGTGACTGGGGCAGTCTTCGGAATAGTGTCAGAGATTGCGCGAAGAAATGCCAAAAGTTGTCCAAAGCGTGCGCAACCTGGCAGCACGTCCCAAAGCTTTTCCAGGATATGTCAAGGGAAAATGTTGAACATTTAGGTTTAGCGGGTGCGGTGAAGTTCCATTACACATTTGAAGGCTCCTCCACACCTCATATCTGTTCACAGATGCAATGCAACTTTCTTTTTCCCAGCCCTCCCAGCCAGCTCGCTTTTCTGAAGACTGCTTTTCCGCAGGTAAATGCGTGGTTGCAGCGTCAGGTACACATCGAACACAGCGGGTAGGAAAAACATCTTTTTGTGTTTAGTGACTCTAATGCCCGCATTTTACCTTAAAGCCCATTTTGTATTCTCAGTTTCTTATGTCCTCTGTGATGTGCTGGTTGAGTTTGTAGAGCCCGACGTTAGCCGACTCGCTGAGAGCTGTCCCAGGACATGTCCTGGCCCTTTGTTTTTTTGTTCCAAATCTTTGCTACGTGATGTTTGCAAGCAGTCCTGTCACCATGGCAACATAAAAACCGTTGTCCTCGAACAGCTTTGAGAAGATATAGCAACTGCAACCCTCTGATTTGTTTGAGCGTGTCCCTGTCCTCACGGGATGAAAAGCTCAGGATTGCATGCTAGCAAAGTAGTGTTAATATTGAGGATCTTCCACACCATGCAGTGCTGCGCAGTGATCGTGGCAAGATGTGAAGCATGACGCCAGCCATGAGGGCGGGTGCTCGAGGTGTTTCGGTTCAGATCGCTAGCAGAGGAATATCGTTAGTGCCTCAGTTGGAAGACTGGCAGAAAACGCATCCGCGCCAAATGATCAGACTGGTCTTTGCGGTGCCTTCTGCAGGGCCGCCGACTGTAGAAGAGGGCGGGGTCGACTTGGATGAAGAGTTGCAGGACCATGCAGGGCCTGCTGTGCATGCACACATCTTCTGCTCTCACGCACCTCTGCAGGATGAGGACTCCTTGGTTTCATGGTGCGCGACTCTCGTCTTGGCAAGAGTTGGCAAATGTGCTGGCTTGACACACGCTAGGAGTTTGCTGTGGTCTGACTCGCGCCAGGTACATAGCCCTGCGCGCGGCCGACAGATTCAGGGAGGTGGCTTGCACTGCGCACTGCATGAGCTCTTGGTTGAACGTGCTTGTTGGACCTCCAAGTCTCCACTTAGGATCAAGGTTACTGGCCTGGCGCCAAATGTGGGAGACCAAGGTTTGATATTGCCTTGGGAGAAAGGTCGTGGTATGTCGTGAATGAGTCCGGACACGTGATGCCACGTGTAAGTGTCGCGGAAGCAGACGATGACGGTTTAGCTACACGCTCACAATTTGCTCGCCAGATCTGGGCTCAAGATCAGATTTCTTTCGGGTCCACGTCCGCGCTGGCTCTTGGAGGTGAGAGCAGCATTTCACACGCAAAAGCAAGCACATTCTTCTCGAAATCGCTGAGGATGGCGGCAGAAAGCACCTGCCAAATCATCAAAGACTCCATGGGCGAAAACATGCCATGGAAGGTCCAGGCCTGGCTGCAAGACTTGCACTGATCAAGCCTTTCTTGCTCCAGCAGAAGTTGCTGAAGTGCTAATATGAGCCAGTCGGGACCCGGGCATGTGCATGAGAATCAGCACTCTTTAAAACGACTGAAGCATCTGCAAGTTTTGGTTGCTGTCGAGGTTTCCGCCGGGTCGACAGTGTCAGATCTTGGTTCTGATCACTTGCAGGAGTCAGATGCCATTCAGTAGTTTATGGTGGCACGCCTACTCGTGAGCTCTGCGAATTTTTGCTATTTTGCTAGCAAAAGCAGTTTGGTATAAGAAATGTGCAAAAACACTGTTTCTTAATTTCCATTTGAGCGGCCTATATTGCAAAGGAGCAAAACACTGAGTTTCGCTATAGCGAGAAGAACATTTTGAGAGGGAAAAGCACGAAACTTTTGGGGAGGACTCCAAAGCATGGTTGTGGCATGACGTTGAGGGTGCTGAAGCCTATAGGCTTTTTGAAGCGTCAACAGGGCCTCATCTAACTCTTGCTAATGGTGTTTTTTTGAGTACAAGAGTCCAAGGAATGCTGAGGGTTGTTTCGGGCACAAAGGAGATGTCTTCAACAACTTGCTAAGGACCATTGGGTGGTTGCAGCATGCAGAGAGGGCCTCGGTCACTGCTTTTTACAGACCACTCGGGTTTTGAAGTATAAAGAGAGGGCCCAGATTATACTTACTAAGGAGGACCATTGAAGGTTGGAAGCATAAAGAGAGGGCCCAGAAAATCAGATCCTTGGTCAATTCACAACAGGGAGCATTCTGCCAGCATGCGCGCACTTCTGAACATGT